GAGAGAGAGAGAGAGAGAGAGAGAGAGAGAGAGAGAGAGAGAGAGAGAGAGAGAGGGAACAAAACGGACAGAACGGAAGCGCACAGCAACGAAACAAGGGCAGCAAAAGAAAGAGACAAGAGACACGAGTGCATGCACGAGAGAGAGAAAGAGAGAGAGAAGATTGACACAAGAGCTTCCGAGAGAGTGACGAAGACCTCAATGCGGACAGAAAGAAAGCACGCAGGGACCAGTGGACAGGAGAGAGGCTTGTCAAGCTAGGTACACATGGAGAGAAGAGAGAATGCATCAGGCAGAGGAACCGCTGGTCAACGAAGAAGAATTGCAAGAAGTAGAGAGAACGTGCAACAGGAGAGGAAGGGGATTCAGGGTAGATCAGATCAAGATGTCAAAGAGAAAGGAAGTAACTACTGACTGCCTACCGTGTTTCCAATCTTGACAAGAGCAGACCCTTCCGCTGTCAGGACAGCACCTGCAAAACCGACAAACACAGTTTGCGAGCCTTTGAGATGAATATACACATAGTAGCCTTTTTTTTTTTTTTTTTTTCTTAATGAAAGTCCAGATCGTAGTAGAGGCTGGATGCTAGGCCTCGGGAGGTGCCTGTCGTTGTACTCGACCAGTGGGGAGATCAGATGGCTTGTGACAGCCCCAAGGACAGTCTCCTCCAGGGGGCATCATTTGTGAACTATTCTTCTGTTATCCTAAACAGATCGCAAGTCTATCCCTACAGTGGTGCGACCCAGACCTGTCTATAGACCTAGACCTACACCAACCCACACCTTCCGAGGGTCTCAGATGAGTGTTCCCCCCCCCCGCTACCATAGGGACACCCCGAATTCTCAAGGACGACCCGGACACAGGAGGGGTCACGGATATGTGGTCATTCCCCACCTGTCTACTACCCTTCTACTATCAATGCGACGATCCACCCTCCCCTGCCTAAGATGAGACCCCTACCCAGAGACCCTTCCCCAGACTCACGCCCCAATCGACCCCCTCAATGGGAACGCAGACAGGTACCAACCCGGATGAAGCCCAGCCCGCAAGCATCATAAGATAGACATGAGGCCCGCCCTTGGGAATCGTATATGCCTAACACCCAACCCTTACTACTACTCAAGGGGGGTGTAGAAAGTGGAGCCAGACCGGAACCAAAATGCTTAAACCACCATACCTCCAGCCCTTTTTTTTTTCTTTTTTTCTTTAGCCCTGTTTTTTATCCCGAGGCAGATTTGTCCTGCCCGCTGAAAAATGTGTGAATCGGCGCAGTCCAGGAGGCCACACCCCCAAAGAATGTGGATGTAAAGTTGTAAACCAATTCTTCGCAAAAGTTTGCCTGTGTGAGGTAGTGGTGGTAACACCAGTTCGCCCCACGCCTTTTTCAAAAATAAATAAATTACCAGAGTATCATTACTAGGGAAAGTGACATGAGCAGCCTCCCCTAGTACGATTTCCGGTTGCTCCAGTCTATCGGTGGGGACCTCCACCTGCTGGAAAACCGCTCCAGCGTCCCCACGATACAATAAGGAATGAGATCATTGTGACAAAGAAGAAACTGTATGTTCCTGCCAGCATTGACTGGCCCAGAGTGTAATTGGGGGGTTGACTGAGCAGGTGAAGATCTTTGATTTTGGTCTGTTTGATCCGTCTGCAGTACCTCTTCACGTATTCACGGGTGCAAGATGAGGCTTTTCGGCATTAGGACTGCACCAACCAATCAAGTCACAACCTTGATCACTCAACCTCAACCACAGAAGCTGCTAAGTCCTACCTCACATAAGACTTCAAAGTTGCTGAGTCTGGCCACACAATAGAAGATTATGACCTGCCAGACCAACTCTGGTGCACAATGCATGTAGGAAAAGGTGGAAAAAGATCCGGGACATATGAAACTGGGCATATTCGAATCGATGAGTTAAGGGTTGTCCAATCGTAGAAGACAAGCTGGTAATCCCTGATGAGATCCCCAAAGTCCTCCTCCTGTTCCCCCCCTTGCACACCTTTCCATAGTATCATTCCAATCTTCCCCTCTTGTGTAAAACCCCCAACCGCTACCACAAAAAGTGATAATGATTTGTCTGACTTCCAATTCGGATGAAAGGAATTTAAGTCGCTCCTCAGTTTTATCACATTGTGTTCTGATATCCGTTTGTATTTGCTGTTTGATGTTATCTGTGAATTCGGGACCATCTAATCTGGCACCGTCTAATTCGTGGGCACAACGTCTCCTCCATAGAGCCCAGATAATGGCCTTTCTACTGATTTTAAATAA